ATAGACTGCTAAATATGTTCACGGGCATAAATTAGTAAGGCTTATTTGATTAAAGCTCGATAATCACTAAACGAATCGAACATGAACTAAACATAAACACCTTTAAATTAAACGAATCAAACATGAACACAAACAATAAAGTTCGAATCAAACACGAACCGAACTTGAACAAGCTAATAATAAACAAACTCAAACATGAACACTTATATACTCGGCTCGGCTCGGTTCGTTTGCAGCACTAACCAAACTGCTTATGATTTCTTTTAAAATGTATCTAATAATAAACTATAATAACTTGCGGCACTTAGTACACGTTTACCAATTTGAAGAGAGAAAATCATCTTTGAGTCCACAGATTACATCAAAACAGACAGGTTAGTCTGTGTTATTAATAATAACCGCAACAACTCTTCTAAATTGTTAAAAAAGGAATAGATTACAACAAATATTAGCTAAAAATTCAAAAAGTCACCTAATACGAGATCTCAGTCCTCAAGTAAATGAAAAACGGTGGTAATGAAGGGGAAGTGATCTCCAAAAATTGAACTTTAGAGAGCAATGCATCTTCATCTTTTGCTCCACAGGAAATAAAAGCCATGGCAATGCCCAACTTCATCTAAAGCTAGTCGCATTTGATGTTTCTATAAATTCTTCTCAAGAACAAAGATGAGCCCACCTGTATTTCACCAGCTCAGTTTTAATATAAATGTACGCAAAAATCATAGAATTTTTTGTTCTAATATATAGTAATTCGAAGGTGGTCAAGATGAATCACAAAATAAATTCAAAATAAATTATTTATCACAAAATAATTCAATGATTTTGAGACTCATCATGTATCTGACCTCACGTAGTGTGATAAAGATTTTATTTGGGGCAACTTTCTTACTGCTTCTTAAAGCAATTTTTTAATATAAAAATTTTAATTTTTATACTAAAAAATTATTTTAAGAAGCAGTAAAAAAGTTATCTCAAATGAAACCAAAGAGTTGATGTTGCTTTTTATTGTATAAATTATATAAGAATAAGGTCTTTGGGGAAGAAGGAAGACCTACCACACAGAATTCCAATGCCCAGGCAAAACATGAGGGTGTAGCCAAAGTAGAAGCTGGTCTGGAAGAAACCCGTCATCTTGGTCTTCACAGAGTAGTAGTAAATGGAGTAAAGATAGACATATGCAGCAGTAGAAGCAGCAGAGAAGAATGATGTCCATTGCCAATGGTAGTTCTCGGCATTTAGAAGGAAATATGTGCCGACAATGGTAACGCAGAGTGTAACGATAAGCAGAATCAGGAAAACAAGTAACATGAATCCGTAGACATAGTAAACCTGCCAAAGAAAGAGAGAAAAATGAGATATTTGCCAAAAGAGACCAAAAAGAAGGTTCAAGTTTGTTTTTGTGAACAACAATCATTCATAAGCAGCCTGAAAGAAGAAAAGTTGGAAAATAAAAATTTAGTTCAAATATCCTGACCAAATTTCTAATCAGGAAAAGTCCAGTACTCATCGAAAAATAAATTTAATAATTTTAAGACCAATCCTAACCAATGTTTGGTCAAGATGTTTTGGCTTTTTTTTTTTTTCAAAATGAAAAAAAAATAGCTTCGGTTATATGACCAATTTTTTAATCATGATGGGCTTTAAAGAAGTCGAATTTGCTTTCAAAAACAAAGATAATAACAATCCAAAATTTAAAATTTAAATATATATATATATATATATATATATATATATATTACATGCTTACCTTGTAATTCCAGAAAGATGTGAAAACAAAATACATCTCAAAGAAGATACTACCAAAAGGAAGAAGACCGTCCATGAGTGAAACAATGGAAGGAGTGAGATACCACTTTTTCTCAGGGATTGGGCGAGGTATGGTCTTCACGCGGAATGGATTGCTAGAAGCGCCACTCCAGTTCCTACCCACCACAGTGCCTAGAAGTGCGAAGGGAAATGAGATGAAAGCCCAAATTACAAAAACCACCACTGTTCCAAAGGGAATAGCTGCTAGTGACCGATAAAATATGGCAATTGTGTTCAGTGCAAAGCCAATTTGATGTAGACAAAGGGGGTCAAATCAAACCCAAAAAAATTTTTGGTTATGACTTCCCTTGAGCTTGCTAGCTCATTAATTTTTGAACTAAGAGTTAGTTCATTATGAGTTATCTTTTTAGTTCACTTATTAATTTATTAGTAGCTCATTAATTTTTGTCTCTTCTCCTTCCCTTGTCTATTCGTTTCCCGTGGATGGTTCTTGGGTTCCCGTGCCTTGGCTCCTTGGTTTCCTGCGGCTGGCTCTTGGATTTCCATGCCTTGGCTCCTTGGTGTCCACGGTTGGCTATTTCTGTGCCTTGGCTCCGGGGTTTCCACGGTTGGTTGTTTGGGTTTCTGTGCTGGGTGGTTTTCCCGTGCCTTGGTGCCTCGGTTCTGTGCGGGCCTCTTTTGTTTCTGCGGCTGCCTCTTCGGGTTCCTGGCTGGGCTGCTTCCCGTGGGTGTTGGGGGCTTTTCCGTGGCTTGTGGAGCTTGGGTTCCTGTGCAGTTTTGGGGATATTATGAGTGGGCTGTTGGCTTTTCATATTCCCTATTTAAATAAGTTTAAATTAATGTTGTGGGGCTGTTTGTATTCCCCTCTATTGTCTATAAATAGTAGATGTTTTGGGTTGTTTTAAATATGATATATGATGTGATTTTTGGAGATAAAACCTGCGGGTTTGTTGTTTGGAAAAGCTTGCGAGCTTTGTCCAACTTCCCTCTTTCCTTCCCTCTTTGAGAAAGCTTGTGAGCTTGTCTCCACTTCGTCTTGGCTTCTAACCTCTTTCTTCTCGTCGCACGTATCCTCCTCACCTGTATCCTTCTTCTCAAAGAAATGCAACTTTAGGTGTTTGTCATGTTTGAGTCATTTGTAAGTGTCTAAGTTTGTAAGTCTTTTATATTATGAAATGAAGTTGTTGTTTTAGTTTATTCGTCTATTTTGTGTCCTTTTGTGTCTTTTCTATTACTTAGAAAAGTCTTATTTTGTGATAAAAAATTTGGGAGCGATAAAAAATTTGGGGCCCTCTCCCAAATTTTTACACCACAATTCCAAAGCACAAAAATGGGAAAAGAGATGTTGTGAGAATCATCTACTTAATCCAATTTTTACCTGACCAGAAATAACAAGAAAATATAAATATGAAGTATGGAATCTTATGTGATCAAAAATATAAAACATAAATAGTTCCCATAATGCTATCAGTAATATTTATAATAATTCAATTGGGAGTCCATACCACCATTCCTGGAATAAAGACCACCACTAACGTAGCCCGAAATGAATGAGGTGAAAGCATAGCACAAGATAAAAAGTTGTGTGAATAGCTCCCCGCCTGTGGTCGTTTAAAACTGTTAGACTCCAAAGAATATCATGAGAGAATACAAAGTTGTAAAAGCCATAAAGATAGGCCTCTTAGATTACTCCTTAAGCTCATCATTAAATTCATTAACGAAATATACAAGTCAATATATTACAACATATCAATAGGATATAAATTCAGATATTTGAATAATGAGAGTACAATCAAATGCAGTAACATGAGCCGTGCAAAGCATTAAACTGGCTTTTAACCGACTCTTTAAAATGGTAAAATATTTGAGCAAACAAACCCATATATGGAAAAATTTATGCACTATTTATAAATGATAAGAAAGATGATAATCTATGTTGATCCTATCAATATATAACTAAATCAATGATCTTATATTGCATCGGCTAATTTCAAGACTTTCTTCTCAAATGCATAATTTGGAATAATGAGGTGCATTTAACATACCCAACATACAACATCCTAACTATTGCCAGCAAAATGACAAGGAGAATAAGCAGCGCCAGCTAAGAACCAGTACCAACAAGAGCAGAAAGAAGAACAAACTACGAGGTCTGAATACATCTCCATGAACAAGATTATAATGTTAAGCTCAAAAGGTTAGTACTAAATCAGTGGACATAATGTTCATTTTTATTCATTTTGTTGACATTACTTTATGTCGACCCGATCCCGATCGAGTTGATTCGAGCCAGACTGGGCTCGATCGCACTCGATCAATTAGATCGAACGCCGTCGAGGCAAAATCGAACTCTTCCTTTTAGCTCATTATGTGGATTTGGAACTTGCCTCTTCCCCTTATCTGTGCCCCCTTGGTATCTTCCTGGAGTTGTTTCTCGTGGCTGGTTCTCCTCCCCTTCCTGGGTGCTGGTTCCGATCCCCTGTACTGTCTTTTCGGTTTCTTCTAGCTTTCCCGTGACTGCCTTACCTGGTTCCTGTGCTGCCTTTTTCGGGTGCTGTTCTGTTTTGCCTGCTGGCCTTCCTCTTCCCCTTACCTGATTGGTTCGGTTGGAGGTGGAATTTGGTTGTTTGGGTCCCCTTTCTCTCTTATAAATTAGAGGTATTTGTCATGAGGAGGTTGTTGATTAACTTGTGAAAAGTCTCTAAAAAAATATTAGGGTTTCTTCTCCTTTCTTGGAAAAACTTAAGAGCTTGTTTCAATCCTCTCTTCCTCCTCTCTATTTCGTCTTGGCTTCTAATCTCTTCTTAGGTTGAGACCCCCACTCACTTCCTTTCTCAAAGATCAGCGAAGTTAGTGGCTTTTCCCCCTTCCTCTTTCAACTCCGGCGACCTCGAAGCAACAAGGGAGCTGTTGGAAGCTTCCAAACAGCAAGGGAAGGCTTCGAAATCTTCCAAACAGCGGTTTGGAGCCTTCGGAGCATCCCAGACAGTGGCAGCAACATCCTGAAAGTCTCGAACAGCAGTCTTCTTCCTTGGGAATGTCTTAGATAGCAGCTTGGAGCATTCAAGGGAGCTTGGACAACACTTGGAGCTTGCATAGGAGCGCTAGGACAATTCGGGAGGTATAACACTAAAAGCTAGGAAAAGTCCTAAGGCCCCCTAGTCATCGATGTGTGGTTGACATCCCCAAGCCTTAGGCCCTTAGAAAACTTAATTTTTGCATCCCCAAAATCCCTTTGTTTGCTGTCTTCTCCACAAAACAGTGAAAAATTAGTGCTTTTCACTTGTTTGCTCTATTGTGAGAGCCAAAGAGGCATGCTAATGCGTGGAGTGTTGGATTGGTATCCAACACCTCTCAAATGCATGTAATATCATTCATGTTATGTCTAGTGCTCTTACCTACAATCAAACCCTAGGTTTAATGGCTCATTCGATGTCGAATGAATTTTTGAAGTGTAGAGCCTCCCCTCTAAGTGTGGCACGCGTTATTAGATCCCTAAACTTGTATGTTACAATAAATTTAGCACATGCATGTGATAGGTTTACACCGCCATGACATCCACTATCTCCTCTAAATTTGTTAGATGTTCAAGCATGTATTTCAATCAATTTTTTATGAAGTTGTGGGATTTCCCATGAGCACTTTTGATTCATGTTACAAACCCTACAACTAATAGGTTGATTGGAAACATCGTTGAACTTCTCTAAATTTAGGGAGGCAAAGCGAATTTTTTTTCTTTCTTGCATGCTTTCATTTTTTAATATTAAATTGAGCTTGCATTAGTACATTGACTATTTGAATACTCGCATTATGTCAATGGCTATGGTCCTTGTACGCCCACAATTTGCAAAATCATAAATGTGTCCACCAAACTCATGGATGCTTGCAAAGCAAAGATGGAGTGTTCTATGACTTCAAGGAGCTTATAGATTACACCTCATCATATATTGGAGTTTGTTAGGCATGTTTAGTGTAGTTTGTAAGTTGAAGGGTCAAGGGCATCAACACATAACATAGGCACATGGTGAAGCTTTCAAAAATACAAATCGAAAGCCTTCACCCCTAGGTTTTCCTTAGACTATAGTAAACTAATACCATGAATCGTTGGAGCTTGGAGCCAAATTCCAAGCCATCCACCTCTCTTGTTGAGACAAAAAAATAAACAAGTAATCACCTCTTACATGCATGATTATTTGGGACATTTCAAGTCTCCAAGCATATCATTACATGAATCACTTGGAGTTTAGGGCCAAATCCTAAACTACGTCTTTCGTTCGTTGAGACAAAATCAACAAATTTATGTACCTCCGTATGAGATATTTTGGAGCTTCTCTAAGCTCCAAATGTCCATCATATGGATCACTTGAGCTTGAAACCAAATTCTCAAGCCCTCCTACTTTGTTTGTTGGAACATTTAACCAACAAACATTATTTTCATGTGTGACACTTTGGAGTCTTCCCAAGCTCCAAATGTTCCATTACATGAATCATTAAGGCTTTAGGAACGAATCCTAAATCCCTCTTTCATTTGCTAACAACACAAAATTAGCAAATGAACATTTTGATGATATTTTAGAAAGGATGATTGATATTTTCAAAACATCTAAGGCAACTTTCTCATATACATAATTGTATTATAAGTTAAGATATTTATCTTCCACTTTAATTAAAAATTTTCTCATCGAAGATGTAATTGACTATAGAGGCTTGCCTCTATAGGAACCCAAGATCCCAATATAAAATAAACATTTTCTTAACTTGCTAAAAGAGGGGGAAAATCTCTAGACGTCGATCAAGCTAATCTTGGGTTGGTAAATTTCATATTTGAAACGATATATGAATGTAAATTTTATCCTTAGAGATAATTGTTACATTTCCTATACAGAGTTTAAACATGAAAATAAAATCATTTCTTTTTCTCAAATTAATAATGCAGTGTTAATTTATTATGCGAGGTAATTAACACTAATTATGCGGATTCGTCTGAAGAAATATTAAATCAAATCGAGTTGTAACAATTCAACATTTCATTTCTCGATAGCTCGTAGGTGTTTGCCTTTATTACGACTATAATGTATTTGCTTATGGATGTCGAGTGATGCGTGCAAACTAGAAAGAAAAGATAAGTTGGAGAACACCAGGAAAAAATATAAACCAAACTCGATTCACTATAACTTGCAAAGAACCAAACAAACATTCGGAAAAACAAAAGTCGAATCAAGCGAAATAAAATAAAAACATAAAAACGCTATCCTCAGTATAACCATCTAGCGGTTTCCTCACATGCAACCAGAGCAGAACAATATTTTAAAATTGTGCTTAGGCTTGCAAACCGAGGGTCCACCACTGCAAAAGAGTCCAACGTCCTACCAAACTCCTTCGACAAATGTCTCCAAATTTCAGCCAACAAACAACTTCCAAAAGCTCAAGAAGAAGGATACAGGTGGAGTGGAACTTGCGTAGAGAAGAAGAGGTTAGAAGCCAAGACAAAATAGAGAGGAGAAGAAGGGGGGTGGAAAGAGCTCTCAAGCTTTTCCAAGAAGAAACCCTCAAGTTTTTATAGAGTTTTTACTCAGATTTTCAACAACCTTCTCCATCCCAAAACATCTCTATTATATAGGCAAAAGAAAGAAGATAAACAACCATAACACCTCCAACGAAATCCAATATGAATTGGGAAAATGAAAGGCCAAAAGACAACATAACAGCTAGCAGAAATTCTGCATAGAAAATAGGGAGGGAAGCCACGAAAAACTCAACCAGCAGCCACGGGAAGCCCGAAGAGCCAGCACAGGAAACAGGGCAACACATCACGGGAAAACAGCTAGGGGGGGTAAAATCGAGAGGGAGGACCACGGGAACAGCAACAGTCAGCAGAAACCGAAAAGATAAGGGGAAGAGAAGAGACACAAGTCCACTCCACAATAATGAGCTTATATAGTAGCATACCTTTTTGATTTAATGAGCTAGGAAGTGCATTTATTCCCGCAATCATTGAGCTAAACTTCAGCTCAAACATTAATGAGCTAACACCAAGTAGAACTCACATTTTAAGCTCATCCCCAAGAAGCCAAGGCCCAACCCAAGAGCAGCAAACAACTCCAAACCGATAACAGCAAGCAACCCAAGGACAAAATGGACCCAAGTGCAAGCAAACCCAAGGCTTGCCATGCCCAAGCACTTTCCTCCCATGATCATTGGATGCCCACCATCATTGGATAGCTTAAAAAAAATATAAAACAAAACTAATATTGTTCAAAATACAATAAAACAAAATAGACTAAAAACATGAATGCATCAATTCTCCCATGGTGGGAAATCTTATCTCCTGATGAGAAAGCTTCCACAATTCTTTTATAAAGTTCAATATGATGCTTTTTAAGTTCTTTTGCATCCATCCAAGTACAGTCTGTCAAAGGACGATTCTTCCATTTTGCCAAGAACCTCATGTGTTCACCATGCAGAGTTTTAGTAACCTTGACAACAATAACATCTTCAACCTGTTCATCGTAACTCAAAACAGATGTGGAGAGTGTTAAAGTTTCAATTCCACATGATCTTCAGAATTTCCTTCATATAAAGAAAGGCCATAAACATTAAACATAGGAGAAGTGCCAACAGTAGAAGGAAGATCCAATAGATAAACATTTGAGCCCAATTTTTTTAAAACACGAAAAGGCCAAAATTTCTTCCTGCTTAATTTCCCAAAAGTACCAACAGGAAATCGTTGGCGACGAAAGTAAGCCATAACCAAATCTCCTTCTTTGAAATAAACTTCTCTACGATGTTTGTCAGCATCAGTTTTGTATTTAACATTAGCCATTTGAAATTTTTTAAGAACTTATTGTTGGACAGTTTTGATATGGTTAAAAGTTTCAGAAGCTTTAGCATTAATTTTATTTGGCAAAGGCAAACAATTTCTATCCAAAATGTGAGATATAGACTAACCATAAATGATTCCAAATGGAGTTTTACTAGTGGAGCGATTAACAAAATTATTGTACGCAAATTCAGCTTGGGGCAAAATTAAATCCCATTGGAAAGGTGATGGAACTTGAGTTGCAAAATTCGGAATCCAGGAAAACAACCCAAAAACAGTGGAAAAATAGAAGATTTCTTGGATTAAAACACTCACAAACACTTCGATTACTTAAATATCAAAAGACTTACAAGTTTCCACGGATACAATGCTCTCAATTCGAGAAGAGAAGCTTTCTCCCAAACCCTAGATTAGAAAAACCTAAAACAGCCACCAAAACAAGATCCCTCCAAAACAAACCTTAACTCCCCTTTAACCCTCACATGATCCCCCCAAAATATCCTAATTACCCCTAGGGCAAACAAAACAAACTCCCTCTTACATTTGGTGGGCCCCTTGGGCCCACCCGACTCCTCCCTCTCCTTCGACCGAACGCCCAGGCGGGGGTTTTCTCCGCCTGTAGTAGGCGAGAACCGGCCCCTTGTGGGCAGGTGCGGATGCGGGATGGACCGGGCGGTCCGGTCCATCAGAAGGTTTCTCACTAGCTAGGCATCTCAATAAATTTCTCAAACTCCGATTGACAACTTCTGTTTGCCCGTCAGTTTGTGGATGATATGCACTGCTAAATTGAAGAGTAGTTCCTAATTTTGCCTAAAGTGTACTCCAAAAATACTAAAAAATCTAGTATCTCTATCAGAAGTAAAAGTGTGAGGAATACCATGAAGACGAACAATTTCTTTAAAGAACAAATTAATAATATATGAGGCATAATAAGTTTTCTTGCAAGGAATAAAATGTGCCATTTTGCAAAAGCGATCTACCAGCACAAAAATAGAATCAAACTTTCTAATAAAAGATCTCAAAACATGATTCATAGTTCTCATAAAAGTGCTCGGAGCATTCGAAAACCCAAAAGGCATCACAAGCTATTCATACAAACATTCTTTAATTTTAAAAGTAGTTTTTCATTCATCCCTAGGTCTTATTCTTATTTGGTGATACCCACTTCTCAAATCAATTTTAGAAAAGATTTTGCACCGCTTAGCATATATAGCATGTCATCAAACCTAGGAATAGGAAATCAATATTTAATAGTGATTTTATTTATTGCCCTACTATCCACACATATTCTCCAAGTTCCTTTTTTTTTGGAGTTAATAAAGCAGGCACAACACAATGACTTAACTTTCTTTAATCAAACCCTTTTCTAACAAATCAGTCACTTGCTTAAAAAGTTCAGCATACTCAGTTGGACTCATCCTGTAATAAAGAAGGTTATAAAAAGTTGCGCCAGGAAATAAATCAATACGACGTTGAATGTCTCTCATCAGTGGCAAACCTACAGGCAGTTCTTCAGGTGATATATCATAAAACTCATTGATTAAAGGTCAAAATTCATTAGGAAATTGAAAAACAAAATCAATTTCTTTTCTCAAAACCAAGTAAGCTACTTCAGAGTGTTTCAAATTATTCGCATTCAAAAGCAGTTCAAGAGTGTTTATTTTGGCAACTTTGTTATTTTTAGCAGGTGAATCAGGCACATGTTTTTGAGGATAGAGAGTGAATTCCTTATTTTGAATCAAAGAGTAAGTGTTCTTTTCACCGTTGTGAATAGTTTTATTATCAAATTGTCAATGTTGACCCAACAGAATGTGATAGACTTCAAGAGGCACAACATCACAAGTAACTTGATCTTTAAAAGACCCCCAATTGTTAAGTTGACAACACATTGCTTTGTGATAGAAACCTCACCCCCTTTCTTAAACCAAGAAATTTTATAAGTTTTGGCAAGTGGTTTGGACTTTAACTTGAGTTTATTAACCATAAGTTGTGACACAAAATTTCTAGAACTTCCACTATCTATCATAAGAGTAAAGATTTTTTCCTAACCGTATAAGTAGTTTTGAAAATGTTTCTCTTAAGCCACCTATCCCCGTTGTCAATTTTTGTTGTTAAGACTTGTTGTATTACCAAAAGATCTTCACCTTCATCCCCCTCAACATCTACTTTCTCTAATTCAATGTCATTTTCAGTTTCATATTCATTTTCTTCTTCTTCCTCAACCTCTTCATTGTTTTCAATGAAATCATTTCTTGGTTGATTGTTTTTTCTATATCCCACAGAAATATGACCATAAAACCCACATTTGTAGCATGGTCCAATTAATCTAGGTTGTTCAGATGGTTTAGATCTCATAATTCCCTTTCATTTATCCGCATTTTGATTTTCAAAAGATTTAGCTTTAGTACCCGATGTTCCCAAAGAAGTTTGAGATTGAATCTTAACCCCGCAAGTTGGTCGCCGCTTATAAGTTTCCATTATCTTGTTATGAACCTTTTCTCTTTGATGTTGCTTTTCAAGTTTTAATGCCATTCGATATGCCTCGTCAACTTTTATTACATGATGCAAATTTAATTGATCCTGAATTGTCCACTTAAGACCGTTAAAATATCTTGAAACAGTTTTTTCTTCAGATTCA